AGCTTCTACGTAACAGCCGCCTGTCAATCCACATTTCAAATGCTTCTAGTCTCTTCAGGTGGCCTTCTGTCAGAGACCAACTCTCTACTCCATAGAGCAGGATAGGAAAAATATAGCACCTGACAAGCCTGATTTTCAGTCTTAGGCTTATGTCGTGACTGCAGAAGACCTTTTTCATAGACATATAGTGGGGAAATTACGAAAATGCCAAAGTGCTGAACAAAATTTCTCAGCAAAGCTTCTGTGCGTTCCTAGTTTGGCCACTTAGCGAGGCTTGAATTTTGAAGATTGGGCCTGGATCCTTAGGTGAGCTCCAGGAGCACTCTTAAGGAGGGCCAGATGTTTCAACACCTGGAGCAAAACTTAAGGAACTTGTGCACCGGTTTAAAGGAGAAGTGCAGTCATGGTAAGTCCTTATGGACTGTATTGGAAAAACTCATTTCTCCTTATAGGCAAGGGAAGACACAAAGATTCTCTACTTTGTCCCCCCTTCCGCCTCTTTTCAAACTTATCCTGCCCCCCCCAACATTCTCTCTACCTCCCCCCCCTGCTCTTTCCCTCTCCTGCCCACCCTGCTCTTTGGTCCCCTGGGAGCGCACTCTAATAATGTATTTGATCGACTGGCGGCCGCGGACAAGCGATTATTGTCTTGTAGGGAGTCAAAAGTATTGATCGGGGGAGAAATATGAGCAGCGCGATGGAGCCGGCGCGTCACATACAATAACCACAGCCCCGGGGGAGCGCCCGCGACACCGGCCGTCTCCTCTCATTACCGCCTGCCTCAGCCAGCGACGGGAACAGGGAGACGGGCTGGGCAGGGTGCCTGCCTCTTGGACCTTACTACTGACCTGTAGGCCTATTGCTATTCTAGCCACAGGTTCCTCATATACAGCACTGGGGAGGGTGGAGAGGAAACATGGCCAGTTGTTTAATGAATCTCCCCCCTTTCGCCCAAGACACAGCTCTGCTCTATGCCTCCCACAGTGCTTCCAACCTGTAGCTAAGTCACCGGTCAAATACCGAAACAGAAAGACATCCTCATAAGTTTGAGTGGCCAGCAGTTCCGAAGGGTGAAGGGACGATCCGGGGAAATGTGCACGGAGAAGGCGTCACCGCAAGGCCGATGAGCCAAACCGTAGATCACAGGAAGACGTGGCTGAGGTCCCTTTCCCATACGGCTCCGGGTCTAATTCCCTTGCTCTGTAACTCGGATAGTCAACTCAAAGCAGCTTTCTGCGCACACTTTGGGGATGTTGGGTCGTTGCACAAGAGTCCCCCAAACTTTTGCTGAGATTTATTTTTTAGTCTGCCGCTAGGAAAGCCGCAAGGCTGGATCTCAGCATGGGGTCTGCCTTCAACAGCAAAGTTTTAAAATAAGCATTGGAAGAGTTCAACTGTTCGATCCTAGATTGTTCTCTCAAAATAGAGCGAGGTGGCCATCAGTGGCTTATATTGCAATCCTAGACATCTGATTAAGACATTAATCTTAGAAGGATTTGTTTCCAGGTAAGTATTTTAAAATTGGGCTGCTAAAGCCAAAATTGGTTTGGTTTGGTTTGGTTTGGTTTGTCTTTCTTTCTTTCTTTCTTTCTTTCTTTCTTTCTTTCTTTCTTTCTTTCTTTCTTTCTTTCTTTCTTTCTTTCTTTCTTTCTTTCTTTCTTTCCTTCCTTCCTTCCTTCCTTCCTTCTTTCTCTTCTCTTCTCTTCTTTCCTTCCTTCCTTCCTTCCTTCCTTTCTTTCTTTCTTTCTTTCCTTCTCTTCTCTTCTCTTCTTTCCTTTCTTTCTTTCTCTTCTCTTTTCTTTCTTTCTTTCTTTCTTTCTTTCCCTCCCTCCCTCCCTCCCTTCCTTCCTTCCTTCTTTCCTTCCTTCTCTTCTCTTCTCTTCTTTCCTTTCTTTCTTTCTTTCTTTCTTTCTTTCTTTCTTTCTTTCTTTTTTCCTTCCTTCCTTCCTTCCTTCTCTTCTCTTCTCTTCTTTTCTTTCTTTCTTTCTTTCTTTCTTTCTTTCCCTCCCTCCCTCCCTCCCTCCTTCCTTCCTTCTTTCCCTTCCTTCCCTTCCTTCCTTCCTTCCTTCCTTCCTGTCTTTCTGTCTTTCTCCTGTAGAGATCAGAGCGACCAATTTTACAGGCCTAAAAGGACCAGAAACATTTTTGAAGAATGATATAATTCCCATTTCACAGAGAGTGGACTGAGGTGATTAAACTGATATATATATATAAATATAGGAAGCTATCTCATGCAAAGACCAATAAGAGTTCCTTCCCAAGTTTGCAAGCTTTAAATCTTCAAACAGGAAGACGTGGGCATTGGGAGAAGGGACTACGCGTTGTTTTCCTCAGGACAACATACGTTTTATGCAAGATGGACTATTACTGATTCAGTCGCTTGGTCAATTTCCCTGTTACTGAGTTAAACCGCTCTCCATCCACTCTTGAGTCAGCAGAAAATTATAGCATAATACAATTTGAGGTTTCCATGGCAGATCCCCATCCTGCCTCTGTCGCCCCTGTAGCCAGGCGCATTAGTCACTTGGCTTCCTTTCAAGTTAATGGGACATAAAGCCGCACAAATTTCAGACACCTTGAGGCTGTCCTTGACTAATGTTGGAAGAAAAGAAAAACAACAACACTGCTACTGCTAAGGACAACTTCAAACTGGCTTATCATGGGTTGGGGACAACAGCCTGGCAACATCACAGGGACACCGCAGGAAAGATGTTGCACGTGTGAGTGTGGTTAAAAGTCCCTTCATCTGAATGCTGTGGGCATCGATAGCCGATCTACCTAGGCGTGAGCAGCTGTACTTGTGAGCCCCCGGTTGCCCACTTCAGTAGAAAATTCAGCTTTGTATAAGCCCACTACTATATGTGCCACACTGAGATGTGACAACGAGTGTGCACAAGCTAGTGGACTTGGCCTTGTGGTGCCCTTCAGATGTATCTCTGAATTGTCCCAAAGGTGTTTTTTCAAACGGCAACTGGATTTCTTTGTGGTTTTTTTCCCCTTGAAGACATTTCGCTTCTCATCCAATAAGCTTCTTCAGAGAATTGAAGAAGCTTCTTGGATAAAAAGCGAAATGTCTTCAAGGAATTAAAAAAAAAAAACCAAAGAAATCCAGCCACCGTTTGAAAAAGCATCTTTGGGACAACCATGAAAACCTCCGTAGAGACCCTCTGAATTGGGTTACATCTGCAATGTGGTTGTTTTCTCAGATAGGCTTTTTGTGCATTGTGTGGCTTCCTTCTGAACAGGACAACCGAATGCTCCCAACTAGAAACACTTCTGTTCCTACATGTAGTAGGGGAGATCAGGAGTAAAAATTAGTGAATTACCGTGTCTGATGTTGAGAATAGACATGATGATCGTAAGTCTGCTGCTACTAGCATGGTGTTGCTGTCTCTGGATAGTGGTGGATTGTGTGGCCACAGGTGAGTTGGAGAATTTGTGGCGTTCTGCTTCCCCCAAGTGTTGAGTGGACAAAAACGCAAGTCTAATCGCTAACATACAGCTGTTCTCAGTGGCCGTCTTACAGACGGTAAAGACTGGGCCGACTTAGTGGAACTTCGCTCCAAACCATGTTTTAGATGCTGGAGATCAGCCCTAATGCGTATGAAGTCATAAAATGTTCCACAGACCACGAACAGAGAGCTTTTCTCCAGCCCAGCTAGATTTTTCCAACTTGATCTTTCAGATTTCCTGTGCTGAAATTGACCCAGATACAAAGACAGGTGAACCATTCTCTTCTATGTACTATAAATATTTTAGATCTAACAGAGCTGGATCCATTTTGGGTCCTATGCTATGAGTTGTGTGGTTCCCTGCAAGGAAGATATTCATGAGCAGGTTTCTGTATAAGCGATGGGGATGGAGTTACTAGGGCTGTTAATACCGAGTCTGAGGTGAGAGTGGTTGGGTTCATGCACCATGCTAAGTCGTGAGGGTTGTTGAATAAGCCACAGTGACTGGACCCACGTAAGCCAAGCCATAAAGCTGATTTATATACTACACCAGCTGGGTTTGCACAACACCCTAAGCCAGGGTCAAACTGATCAAGGTGTGCGTGCTAGGCTAGGCCAGGAGCAGGCAACCTTGGCTCTTTTATGACTCGTGGACTTCAACTCCCAGAATTCCTGAGCCAGCATGGCTCAGTTTGGAAACCTCTCCCTTTCCCCTCAGCACGGCTGGCTCAGGAATTCAAGAGCCAAGGTTGCCTACCCCTGGTCTAGGCTATTGGGACCACCATTTCCACTGTTAAGAAAGTGGGTTGTTAAGCGAGTTGTTCCTAATTTGGCAACCTTTTTTGGGCACAAAAAAAAAAAAGATCATGTCATTAAGCGAACACGCCTTCCCCCGTTGACTTTGCTTCTCAGAAGCCCTCTTGGAAGGTGAACACATGCTGCCATTGTCATAAATACATGTCAGTTGCCAGGGGCCTGAATTTTTATCATGGGGATGCCACAATGGTCACGAGTCCAAGGACCGGTTCCAGTGCTGTTGCAACTTCAGACGGTTGCTAAACGAATGGTTGTAAGTTGAGGACTTCCTATCGTTCACAACAGGCTAAGAGCATTCACTGAACCATACAATGCCCAACCACATTTTAGCCTGAAGACACGTTCTATAGAACCTGGCTCACGCCGATCCTTTGAACTCAACGAACGGAGCTTTGGACGCAGCAGATGGAAGCATGGGCACCTGTGGGTACCATGGCAATTGCACACGTATATATATATATTTGCTGTGCGGCAGTCCTTGCAGTGTTCTTTGCTCCCCCCCCCTCCACACACACACACACACCCTGCCATGTCTTCTTCCTCCCAGCTGCTTCCTGCCACATTCACTGTTCTTGCTTCTCAAGCGCCCGGGGACTCCCCAGACCTGCCCCTAGTTTTAGAGGCCCTTCCTTGTCCTGCCACCTGCTTTTTCCTCTCTGGAACAAGTACCATCCGTCACTGGCAGGCAGGGCCCTTTGGGGCTGTCTCTTCCACATCCGAAGAATTATCGCCATGGTGAACTTGGGCCTGTGGGCAACAGGTAAGCGATAAGGGCTGGTACTGCAACTTGGAGGCATCTCCGTCCTTTCCCCCCCCCCCTCTCACTCATGCATTGCCAGCTTCTTCTGGAGATTTCTTTGATGCCAATAAAAAGCTGAATATAGGATGGGCTGGCGAAAGGCAGGGGTGTCTTATAGGACGGAAGCAGTGTTGCCTATTTTGGCTGCTCCTCCTGCTGTGTCCAAAACTCAGGGGGTCCTTAGTTGAGTTCAAAGGATCGGCACGGCACAGGATCTATGCAACATGTATATCGGCTAAAATGTGGTTGGGCTCGTGATTGCCCTATCGTAAGCTTCAAGGCTCATTGAAACAAACCCTGATCTACGGACAAATAAATAATGGAACGTCCCGGCAAATTTCGACTGCCTCCCATCCTGAAGGGAGCGAGGAGAGAATGCTAGTCAACTTAAGATCGTGGGGAGGGGCGGGGTGGGTACAAGGATAGGAAGTGGATGTAAGGGAAATTGCACCACACAGTAATGCCTTAGGTCGGAGGAGAGGACTTGGGAAGAACGCAGCAACTTTACCCTCAAGATCTGCTAGAGATAAAGCCAAGAGGAAAGCTTACCCACATAGCAGAGGGCAAGCTGTATCTACTGGATCCCTATTGAAATCGCTGGATCTCTGGCTGGAAAAGGATAGTTCAACAAGGATCTGGTCAAACTGCCAAGGGGTTTGACCAACTTGTAAACCAGCCACCGTCCCTGTGCTTTAAAGAGCGTTCGTATCAGTACACAATCATGGTTCCTTTCCTTGCTGTGAAGTTTTGCCGCTGATCTCTGCAGATGTAGAAGTTTTGTTAAGGGCCTATCGGCAAGTCAGATGTTGGTCTCCAGGCAAGCTGCCTCATAAGAAACCGTGCATGGTGTTTTGTCAGAGTTTGCCGTTTGGAAGAGAATCATTTTAGTAGGCTTTTCCTGGCGCGCAACGTATATTTGGGGAGGCAGGCAACGGTGTGGTTTTTTGGGAAAGTAGACGAGACCTACCTCCTTTTTCCACAGGCCACTCCAGTGTGTTTATTCCCAGGGTTTTTTTCCTGTTAATTGGGCAGCCAGAGAAAGCAAGGCGGGGGAATTAGGAACCGCAGTGAAGAGGAGGAGAAGGAGGAGCTATGCCCGGAGCTGTCAGGGCAAGGGGGGCTGGTTTTGGGGCTTCTGTTTTTAGTTTGAGTTTCAGTAAATTGCAGGCTTTTTTTAAACTATCTAAAAATGTGAAAGGGAAGCAGAAGTGAAAGCCGACAAAGAGTGGCCAGCAGTTTGGAGAGAGGGGGGCGGGCGGGAATAACAAAACTGGCCAGCACTTCCTGTATTTTCTGAAACCCCCCCCCCTTAAAAAGAAAAACCCACCAGATTACAGCTTTTCCAATGTATGGGGTGTATTCCACCAAGAATAATCCAAACCCAGTTGACACAATAATAAATGTCTCCAGGAACGCTGGACGTCATCACAGAAGTTGCCACTTTCTTTTACCCTCTCTGCTCGTGATTTGGGACACCCGCTTGATTTTCAGACATGTTAAACAGTGGAAGCTTTTCCCCATCTGGACATTTTCAAAGAATGGAGGAAATTTCACTTGGTCTATGCCTCTCAGACCAGTTGCTGCCAAAGGCTCAGGAGCAGAGCAGAAACGACATAGTAAAAGCAGCGGATCCGAATTAGAGAGAGTCCTCGATTTAACAGCTGAGGCCAAAACTTCTGTTATTAAGTGAGACATTTGTTAAATGGCTTTTGCCCCGTTTTACGACCTTTCTTGCCACAGTTGTAAAGCGAATCACTGCAGGTGTTAAGTTAGTAACAGGGTTGTTAACTGAATCTGGCCTCTCCCCATTGACATGGCTTGTCAGAAGTTCGCAAAAGGTAATCATATAACGCCAGGACACTGCAACGGTCATAAATATGAACAAGTTCTGATCACGTGACTGTGGTGATGCTGCAATTGTCGTAAGTGTGACAAATGGCCGTAAGTCACTTTTTTCAGTGCCGTTGTAACTTTGAGTGGTCACTAAATGAACTGTTAGTGTTCCAATCTCTCAGGGGCTGCCCCAAAGAAGAGGGAGTCAAGCTATTCTCCAAAGCGCCTGAAGGCAGGACGAGAAGCAACAGATGGAAACTGATCAAGGAGAGAAGCAACCTAGAACTAAGGAGAAACTTCCTGACAGTTAGAACAATTAACCAGTGGAACAACCTGCCTCTAGAAGTGGTGAATGCTCCAACACTGGAAGTTTTTAAGAAGAGACTGGACAGCCATTTGTCCGAAATGGTATAGGGTTTCCTGCCTGAGCAGGGGGTTGGACTAGATGACCTCCAAGGTCCCTTCCAACT